TCCGCGATGAGTAAATTTGCCTCATGTTTTCCCAGGATTTTCCAGGGAAAAATTCCTGAATTTGAGAAAAGTAAAGATTGGATTCACTCTGTCAATTGGTACTACTCCGAGACTGAATAAAATTTTCGTCAATTTCCTTATTTTCTGGTAGATTTTTAGGTTTTCCACAGGAAACCATGAGACAAATTTACTCATCGCTGAGTTCCTGTACTTTTGGCGATTATGAATGAACTAAACTCAAATTTGGGTCGTTCTCATTCGCCGTGTACGCAAAAGGAAAAGAGCCAGTGCCGCTACTTGATAGTAAACTACTCATAATGGGAGGAGCCTTTGTAGCTTTTATACCACTTGGTTGCACATCATTCTGCTTTAACCTGAAAAGATATAAAAGAGCGCTGCTGTATGGCATTAGCTCATTTTCGCTTCGGACGGCGTCGTGAACAGCAATAGCAGCAGTAGGAAAGTGGTGGCTAGTCCACTCCTTCACACCTAACAAGCAACAATTGACTGGTCGTGGCAAAGGAGGAAAAGGTCTGGTAAAGGAGGCGCCAAGCGTCATCGCAAAGTTCTTCGAGATAATCGCCATCGATCGTCTGGCTCACCGTGGTGGTGTCAAACGTATCTCGGGTCTGATCTACGAGGTGTGCTGAAGGTGTTCCTGGAAAATGAGGTCCGTGATGCTGTCACCTACACTAAACACGCCAAGCGTAAGTGGTCATGGATGTCCTCTTCAATAAAACTGCCCTTTTCAGGGCCATCAAGCTTACATCAGTAAAGAGTTGGAATAGAATTTATCTGTGCTTGTTTGTCCATATTCAGAACCACAAGCCCCCAACGACCACACATAATGCTCCCCAGAGTTGTAATCTTGAAACCAAACTTGGAAGCAGGAGTGCAAGTGATTTTGATTGATTCTCTTAATCAACTTTCTCTTTGAAAAAAATTACTACAAATTTGGTACGCCTACAATTCAAAAACGGAAAGAGTTGAGGTAATAGATAATTGATCAATTAAAAGAACTAAATGCTCTTCACATTTATTCCGTCCACTAGCGGTCCTACGTCAAGCTTCCGTTCGTGCCCCTAGGCACAGACCCTTCTACTTTTTCCTTCACTTCTGGGCTTCCGATCGGTGGTCAACCGTTCCTCGAACCGCTTAATCACTCGCGACACCGTGGAATTCGCGATTCCCAACGTTTTAGCGATGGAACGATGCGAGAGATCCTTGTTCTCGTGATGAATGCGCAAGATTTTATCACACCGAGCTGTTCTTTCGACTCCATTTCCGCGAGTTTTGATCACAGGACTTTAAAACTTGCAGGTGATATCACGGCGAATGAGATCGACCCAAATTTGAGTTTAGTAATCTCAGAAATAAGAAATAAAGTGCACGAACTCCGCGATGAGTAAATTTGCCTCATGTTTTCCCAGGATTTTCCAGGGAAAAATTCCTGAATTTGAGAAAAGTAAAGATTGGATTCACTCTGTCAATTGGTACTACTCCGAGACTGAATAAAATTTTCGTCAATTTCCTTATTTTCTGGTAGATTTTTAGGTTTTCCACAGGAAACCATGAGACAAATTTACTCATCGCTGAGTTCCTGTACTTTTGGCGATTATGAATGAACTAAACTCAAATTTGGGTCGTTCTCATTCGCCGTGTACGCAAAAGGAAAAGAGCCAGTGCCGCTACTTGATAGTAAACTACTCATAATGGGAGGAGCCTTTGTAGCTTTTATACCACTTGGTTGCACATCATTCTGCTTTAACCTGAAAAGATATAAAAGAGCGCTGCTGTATGGCATTAGCTCATTTTCGCTTCGGACGGCGTCGTGAACAGCAATAGCAGCAGTAGGAAAGTGGTGGCTAGTCCACTCCTTCACACCTAACAAGCAACAATTGACTGGTCGTGGCAAAGGAGGAAAAGGTCTGGTAAAGGAGGCGCCAAGCGTCATCGCAAAGTTCTTCGAGATAATCGCCATCGATCGTCTGGCTCACCGTGGTGGTGTCAAACGTATCTCGGGTCTGATCTACGAGGTGTGCTGAAGGTGTTCCTGGAAAATGAGGTCCGTGATGCTGTCACCTACACTAAACACGCCAAGCGTAAGTGGTCATGGATGTCCTCTTCAATAAAACTGCCCTTTTCAGGGCCATCAAGCTTACATCAGTAAAGAGTTGGAATAGAATTTATCTGTGCTTGTTTGTCCATATTCAGAACCACAAGCCCCCAACGACCACACATAATGCTCCCCAGAGTTGTAATCTTGAAACCAAACTTGGAAGCAGGAGTGCAAGTGATTTTGATTGATTCTCTTAATCAACTTTCTCTTTGAAAAAAATTACTACAAATTTGGTACGCCTACAATTCAAAAACGGAAAGAGTTGAGGTAATAGATAATTGATCAATTAAAAGAACTAAATGCTCTTCACATTTATTCCGTCCACTAGCGGTCCTACGTCAAGCTTCCGTTCGTGCCCCTAGGCACAGACCCTTCTACTTTTTCCTTCACTTCTGGGCTTCCGATCGGTGGTCAACCGTTCCTCGAACCGCTTAATCACTCGCGACACCGTGGAATTCGCGATTCCCAACGTTTTAGCGATGGAACGATGCGAGAGATCCTTGTTCTCGTGATGAATGCGCAAGATTTTATCACACCGAGCTGTTCTTTCGACTCCATTTCCGCGAGTTTTGATCACAGGACTTTAAAACTTGCAGGATGTAAATAATGCACTATGAACTAAATCCACCCAAATTTTCATTAAATTCTACCCAACGGTTAAATAGTTAGAGCAATTTCATAGTGTGGCAATTTCATCGTGGACACCCTTTATCAATACAGCCTATAATAAATTTTAAAATTCTGAGACATTTATGAACACTTTAGATTTCGGACTTTAAAAAATATCTAATTCTCCTATTTTTAACATTTAAGTATTCCTGTTTTACAATATATAGCATTAACTTATCATATTTTTATTACTTCATGCGTGAAGTTAACGATCTACATAGTTGGAGATGCTTAATGTCAAGTATCAGACTTAAATTGGATATTTTATACCATAGATGAGGAGATGAAAGTATAGAATTATATAGATTCGTACCTTCCTCAAAATTGTTTTTTGCTCGCTTTTTACTTCTATGTACCATTTCACTTTTCACGTTATGGTACGGGATAGTATAAACATAATTTCTTAAATTCAGTGGCCACCCTGATCATAGAATCGATTAAAGGAGTACAACGGTAATACAACCATGTCTGTCATAAGTAAAACCGTGTTCGTAACTGTACAATGCAGGGTATCTCTGCTTCGTCCGTAATGAAGCATCGTTAAATAATAATCTGAAGGAGTGCTATTTCCGATCGTTTCTGTTTTGTTGACGTCCGTCGTCATTCTTACTTTGCTTACAAATAGTAACAAGTCTTAAATTAGTATTTAAAAAATGATGATGATGCGCGAGATACTATAAATTTTCGCATCATGATTCACAAAGCACCAAACGGCTTCAGGAGAGCTGATTCACCACGCGTCTCCATCCGACGCAAAACTAAAACCATCATCCATTATCTCAAGAGGTAGCGAGTGTCGGCTACCTACCGTAAAATCAACCGATATTATTTATCATTTATTCGGTTGATGATCCGTTGCCAATGGATTTCATCACTATTTTTAGACATTCCAGCTAAAAATAATTCCGACGGAACTGTATTTACATCTACGTGAAAAGCGATCTTCGGCTTTCATTCCGACCAAGGTACATACACACGCAAATCCAGTTCAAAGCTCGCCCTTCAACCTTGTGCTCTCCGCGCTGTTGCGACTAATCTTGCCTCCAAGATGTTTGTAGATCCCATAATGTACTTCGTCGAACTGAGAAGCAGACAGAGGCAGAGAAGTCTACCGTTCGACCATTAAAACCTATTCCCGATTTTGTTATGGTAAACTATAAACGGAGAAAGGAAAATCTTGAACGGCTTGTTTGCAAGCGCACGAGCGTGTAAGCCTCTCATCCGGATGCCATTGGTCGAGCACAGGGGATAAATATCCGGAATTGCGACTTTAGACGACTGCAAAAAAATTTATAATAAGGAAGAAACGTTCCCAGAAATTATTCACCACAGTATTGATCCTGTGTTGGTAAATATAATTGTGGTCGCGCATTGTCGGCGGGCGAACTTTGATCACACCTCTTTCTGTGTTTTCTATTACGTGGGTGTATTTGAATCGCCACAAGGGATGCTTTATTTTATTAAGAGCAAACAAACGCGAAATTCACAATTCTGGGAAAAAAACGGTTACACTACGCAATATATATTCGGAAATGTCGTTGTTTCTGGTACACCGTGACTTGCAGTGCAATTCGATCTTATTTTCTGTTTATCATCTTCACTACGATCTGCATCTCGATCAGACCGACTCAAAATTAAGTCGAGTTGACTCAATTTCGTCAAAAGTGAGCTCGAATATGAAGAACATAGATAGAAGTTTCACTGAAATCTATTGGCACAGACAAACAGACGTTACTCTTTAAATAAATTTTCCATAAAAAAATCGTGCCGGATCGCACTAATGACATTTCGCGGAACAATAACTTACGTGCCATTTCTCAAACAATGTTGCAATCATCTAAACTCGGCTTTACGCAGAGAAATAAAATCATAATTTTGCCTCCTAACAGGAAGCAAATTATCTGTCACCATCATGCATTTCTCTCTCATAATTAATGTCACCGCTTACTCATGTTTTTCTTTTTCTTCACCCGACCAGATTGCTACAAGATGCACTTGGTTGGCCACATCCCACGCCCGCCATTCCATCTCTCACGCATATTACTCACCCAAACTCTCGAACTAAGAAAAGCATCTCATGTTTTTCTTACTTTCACACTTGGTCAATAATTTTGCAATTTCCCGCCGTCTGGCATCACGCGTGGCAATGCCAGTCCTATACCTAGGACCAGCACATGACTAATGCTTGCATTTTTTTTTTTCTCGATTTCAGGAATTCTGCGAAGATGAGCGCCAGCTCTACACCCCACTGATCGTGGCTGCAATGAACGGGCACTTCGACGTGGTTCACATCCTGCTAACCCAGCTGAAGCCGAACTTGGAGAAGGAAGGCCGCGTCAAGTTCGATGGTCACCTGATCGAGGGAGCCTCCGCTCTGTGGGTGGCCGCCGGTGCGGGACATCTGAACATTGTGAAACTGTTGATTGAATATGGTGCCGACATCAATCACCACACGAAGAATGTGTCCACTCCGGTACGGGCGGCCTGCTTCGACGGGCGGTTGGACATAATCCGGTACCTGGTCGATCACGGTGCCGATATCAATCTGCCCAATGGGTACAACAATACGTGCTTGATGATTACTTCGTACAAGGGCCATGCGGATGTGGTGGAATACCTGTTGGAGAATGACGCTTTGCCGAATGAGCAGGCAAACTGTGGTGCGACGGCACTGCACTATGCGGCCGAATGTGGTCACGCGGAGGTTTGTACGGTTCTGTTGGACTACGGGGGTGTTTTCAAGCGGAACGAATACGGGATGTCTCCGGTGATATGCGCTGCGGAGAGAACCCGAGAATCGGTGGTGCAGCTGTTTGTGAACCGACCGGGACTGTTAACGAAGGACGAGCAGATCGATGCACTGGAGCTGATGGGAGCGTCGTTTGCGAATGACAAGGATAACTACAGCTTGGTGAAGGCTTTCCACTATCTAATTTCAGCAATGGAGTTGAGGTAGGTTTATTACGTGAAGCGTGAGCGGGCTCCGAGACTTCAATTTCTCTATTTGCAGATACGAAGACAGCAATGACATCGTTCAGAAACCACTCCTTCCTCCCATCGCGGCATACGAACACTGGATCGAGTGCCAAACCATGCATGACCTCCAGGCCATCCGGTACAACCACAATTCGCTGCACATGGAATCGCTAACCATTCGGGAGCGCATCCTTGGCCGGCACTGCCCGGAGGTGGCTCATTCGATTGTGTTCCGCGGGGCGGTTTGTGCCGACAATGGTCGATTCGATCGCTGTGAAAGCCTCTGGCTGCACGCAATGCATTTGAAGCAGCAAAATTCTCTCTCGGTTCAACGCGATCTGCTTCGTTTTGCGCAGCTTTTCTCGCAGATGCTGTCGATCAATGTTATACTGAGGTTCGCCAATGTGGTCGATGTGCTGACGGCTTGCGTGGATGAACTGGCGCTGAATCAGTTCAAAATGATTAGTCCGGGAGAGAAGGATTTGCTGGAAGTGATAGCCGAAGAGTATGAACTGAACATTGTAACCGTGCTATACCTAATCACTATCATAACCAAATTGATAAAAATGAAAAACGCAGATATTACGGAGGATAATCTCAGGGACGTATATAGGTTAGTCTATAAGTTGAACAATTTGTCGGTACGGCTCAGAGACGATCAGTCTCTGATGCACCTTTCAGTAAATGGAGTCACACCGGTAGACGACTTCCATACGGATGACATTTGTAGGTAAGCTTAGTTGGGTTGGCTTCGGTCTTCAAAGATGCTAACAAGCTTGTTTCAGATTTCCGTGTGTTGACACCGTAAAGCTGCTGTTAAAATGTGGTGCATCGTTAGCCGTAGTAGATGCCGATCGGAACACTCCTCTCCATACGCTGTGTTCCACGGTATGTGTGCTTCAAAAGCGACAAAATGTAAAATGGTTTTCTAAAGGCAAATATCCTTACTTTCAGCTACAGACTGCCGTAATTAGAATGTCGGACAACGACGTTAGGTCCATCGTGAAAGATCTAATCGAACTGTTCATCGATGCCGGTATCCACCTGGACGCTGTCAATTGCGACGGTCTCAAGGCGTCCCAGGTTTGCGTTCAAAGTAGGTATTCGAGCTCCCACAAAACCCATTTGCTAGCATAAAACATTCACAATCTAATTTTCGCAACTGTCTTCTCCCGAGCAGATTCGGTGGGAACATTCATCAAGAGCTACGAGACACGTGCAATCAATCTGAAATGTTTGGCCGCCCGTTGCATAGCGCTGCACCGTGTGCCTTTCAAGGAAACAATTCCCCGACAGTTGGAGGCCTTCGTGCAGCTGCATTGTTCAGAGAAATTCTGAATGCTCTTGCAAGTCTTCCAAAAGAAACTGCTAGGGAAACTGGCAACGTAAGCAATTGAGAATTCGAAGCAAACCCACCAGCAACCGTTAACAACGATCAAATGAGGTAGTTGGCAGAAGGATCCAGAAGTGGGGTGAAGGAAACCCCACGCTCAACTCTGTTTTATATAACACGTACGATACATACTGTAGTGAAGAAGGGAAGCAAATATTTATGAAACTTTTTACAAAATGTAACCACCAATTGTGATTGAATGCGGATGGTGCACCGGGACGACGCTGATGCAGCAGGTAAAGTGCAATTTAATTAGTTCTGTACTATGATTACGGCTGTAAAATGGAACCGGGCTGAAATGGGCGACAAGTTTCCCGTTGCGAAATGCTGAGTATCATTAAGAGTGGAATAGCTTTCTGTTTTAAATTTTACTGTGGTAAAAGGTCGATATTTTTACAAGAAAATAGGTGAATTTGAAACGTTGCATTGGATTTGTGTTCCGAAATGTCCCTAGAGCTTAAATTCGTAGACAGATTTTGAGAGGTTGTACTCATTTTTCCTGCGTAGACAATCATTCATTCACAGAACAAACGCTAACTAACATTGCCCCTTACGTCTTCTGAACATACTATCTGTTGATGTCCTGTACAGTTTATTTGTTTATTTGTTATGGTAGCATCAACAGACTAGAAATAGTCCCAATGATGTGTTGTAAAAAAAGTACAGATTATACAGACGACATACATATACTACAGTTACTACAGTTACAAACGAAAATAACTAGGAAAGCATTGTCAAGTTACTAAAAATTTATAAGTCTTAAATTTTACACTTAGCTGTTGGGCATCAAGCGCCTTCGATCAGCAAAAAAGGCAGAGAATCTTCGGCGAAGCATATTCCGTGTCAAGTGGAAATCGAACATCGACGCTACTCGGTTGAACACTAGCTGCAAGCCGTAAATAGCGCTCCCTATGCTATAATTAGTTCGAAGAAGTGGAAGTCTCAGCATAAGACTGTTGCTTAGTGATCGAGGTTGAACATTAATGTTCACTTGTTGCAGAATTGCTTCGCAGTCGATTCTTCCTTGCAGAGTATCGGCGACGGTTAAGGCTCTGAAAACATCTCTTCGGATACGTAAGGGCTCGATATTGATCAATTGGCAGCGATTCTCGTAGCTTGGAAGACGAAGTGGGTATCTCCAAGGCAGCTTACGGAGCGCGAAGCGAAGAAAACGTCGTTGAACAGATTCAATTCGCTTGGCCCCATTATTGTAGTCCGGGCTCCAGACAGCAGAGCAGTATTCCAACGTAGATCGTACGAGAGAGCAATAGAGCGATTTCAAGCAGTAAATGTCCATGAAGTTCTTATTAATCTTGAAGACAAAGCCAAGCGTTCTGGACGCTTTGTCGACGACATGTGATATATGGTGTGAGTATGTCAGCTTTGAGTCTAGAAAAAGTCTTTCACGCAGTGCACCCGTTTGATAGTCGTGCCTAGTAGTTTGTAGTTGAAAATAATCGGTTGTTTCTTGCGTGAGAAAGTAATAACTTTACACTTAGCTGGGTTTGTGGGCGGACAGGGGGCAAAACACCGGTAAATGCAGTGAAAAACGGATATGTAACGCAGAATTAAAAAACGTATAAATCGCGAAAACTGTTTAGAAAACGTGTTTATTAATCAACGATCAAAGAAAGTACATTTTTGTTTGAACAAAATTAACTGCGATTCTTTTTCTCTGCATGTACATTCGTAAAGGGCGTATTCACGCTATTGCCGCTACACTGCAACACTCCTCCTCGTGAAGTAGCCCAGTCTCCTCATCCTCCGTGTTTCACTACTGGCGCCAAAGACATCGCTGCTGCAAACTTCCCGATCTTGATCGGTCCGAGAGGTTTGGTCAGAATGTCAGCGATCATCTCTTCAGACGGACAGAACCGAAGTTCTATCTCCCCCGACGTACATCTCTCCTTGGTGTAGTGGAAGCGAGTGTCGATATGTTTCGACCTGCGCTTCTGCTGATCGAGTGCTACGAAATCCATACATCCTTTGTTGTCCTCGTGAATAACGGTTGCATGAACTTGCTTCAAGTTTAGCTCACCCAACAATCGTCGCAGCCATACAGCTTGTTGCGTGGCCTCCGATAGCGCCACGTACTCCGCCTCCATGGTGGAAGTTGTTACGTTGCTCTGCTTACGGCTGGTCCAGCTGATAGTGGCTCCTCCTAGGCGAAACAAGTAACCGCTGCACGACTTGCGATCGCTCGTATCGCCGGCCCAATCGGCGTCGCAGAAACCTTCCAAAGTCTGCTCTTCGGCTTCAGTTCCTCCGCCAAGCTTCAGACCGTAATCCATTGTGTGAATCAAATACCGGACGATCCGTTTGGCCTCGTTCCAATCGAGCTCCGTCGGGCTGCTCACCTTCCGACTGAGAATTCCCACGCTAGCCGCAATATCCGGACGGGTATTCGATGCTAGATACAACAGTGATCCTATCAGCTTGTGGTACTGAATGTTGTCCTTGAGGTTTCGACTCTCTTTCATGACTTTGAAGTACCCAGGGTCGAGTGGATACTTCGAACCTTTTGCTCCTTCCATTCCGAATCGCTTCACCAGCTTCCTTATGAAAACACTTTGATCCAGAATGAAGAATCCATCAGCGTTCCTCGTGACGCGTATTCCGAGAAAACAGTGGATGTCTCCCAGCTTGGAAATGCTCAGCTTCTCTTGCAGCGAATCTTCGATCTTCGTGATCTCCTCCTGATGCGCACACGTAACCAAAATATCATCCACGTAGATCAAAAGATACAGCTAATCATCGCCGACAAGGCGCTTCCGGTACAAGCACGTGTCCGCCTTGCATTGTTCGAAACCCAAGCTCATTAAAATATCGGTAATTGTCATATGCCAAACCCTGGCCGCTTGTTTGAGGCCGTAAATACTTTTATGCAACCTACAAACCTGATGCTCTCTTCCTTTGACGACAAACCCTGGTGGCTGTCTCATGTAGATTTCTTCTCGCAACGTGCCGTACAAATAGGCCGTTTTAACGTCCAGATGTCGAGGAGTTTTCCCGACTTGAGTTTTGCAGAAACGAACGAAATCCTTCACCTTCTCAGCGACCTCCGATTTTCTCCGCAACAGGTACACGAAGGCCATGCGAGAATGATCGTCGATGAAGGTCAGGAAGTATTGATTGCCGCTGGGAGTAGCAACCAATGGACCACTGACGTCACTATGGATGACATCCAAAATCTCCTTCGAACCACGGTTGACAGCCTTTGGAAACGGGGTCCGGGACATTTTCCCCTCCAAACAGCACTGGCACACCGTTCGCACTCCACAATCGACCAACTTCATACCTTCAGCTGTGCCGTTCCTGTGGATTGCCTTGATCACGTCCGGGTCCCGATGGCCGAGCCGTCGGTGCCACGTATGCTGGCAGTTGAGCGTGTGGGACAGCTGGACGCTCACCATCGCTTGATTGGGAACCCGTAACTTGTAGAGACTACCGCAACGATCGGCCACAACCGCAATGTCAGCACCGGTTTTGCGGATCTCACAGCCGTTTTCACCAAACAGCACACAGAAGCAGTTATTTGCGAGGGTACTCACCGAAATCAATCCACTTGCTAATTTCGGAACATAGAGCACGTCAGACAACACAATATCCACCGAACATCCGTCTACCTTCACTCCGGTAATCTTCCCGCTGCCTATGCCTTCGACGGCTGCCTTTTCACCGTTCGCCAGCATCACGCTCATTCCCTGCTGCTCCTGTAGAGATTCGAAGAAACTTCTTCTTCCCGTCATGTGCTTCGAGGCTCCGCTGTCCACAAACCAGCTTCCATGTTCTGCATTCCCAGCAATCCAACCAAGCGGGCCGTCGAAAACGTTTTGCACCTGCTTCGCCTTTGTTGCGTCTTCCCTCTTCGGCTGGCTCGCTGTAGCTTCATCCTGCTTCTTCCCGGTGGCTTTCTGCAGACTCCGACAGTTTCGTTTCAGATGACCAGGTTTCTTGCAGTGGAAGCAAATCCGTGTCTCTTGACTTCCACTAGCACCGCCATCGCTCCGTTGCTGCCGACGAGGCTGGTGACGATATTCCACCTTCAGCGCTTTTCCTCCTGCAGCAGCAGCTGGTCCGGAACGTTCGCGTCGTTTCTCGGCTTCGGAAAGTAGTTTGGATTTAACTAATTCCAAAGTTAGCTCGGCACTAGGACGTTGCTCGAGAGCTGTCACTAAAGCATCGAACGAATCCGGCAATGAACAAAGCAACATCGCCACCTTCAACTTGTCCGGGATTGGATCCCCGACATCCGCAATACGCTGCAACAGGTCGGTAAACTGCTGCAAGTGTTGCTCCATGTCTCCATCTTCGCTCAGCTCCAAATGCGTCAGCTTCTTGAGCAAGTACACCTCCGATCCCTTGTCGTGGTAATCCTTAAGGGCTTTCCATGCATCCTTGGCACTGGTGCAGCTTCTCACCAAGCTAGTCTGGCTGTCATCTATGCACAGCCCAATCGTCGCGCGAGCCTTCAAATCCGCCTTGGTCCAATCATCGTCTTCCGTAATTACAGCCGGCCTTGGCTTACTGATGACGTGCCATAAATCCTCCCGAACCAACAACATTTCCATCCGAAATTTCCAGGATTGGTAGTTGTGGTTCGTAAGCTTCGGGAGCGGGAAACGCTGCTGGTCCGCCATCTTGCTTTCTCCTCATCCGCTCACGGGAACACCGCCTTCTGGCTACGGGAACTACCGGAAACTTTCGCGATTTTACGACCGAATTTCAACTAATTCGCGGAACTTTCACTGGGCCCATAACCTGTGGGCGGACAGGGGGCAAAACACCGGTAAATGCAGTGAAAAACGGATATGTAACGCGGAATTAAAAAACGTATAAATCGCGAGAACTGTTTAGAAAACGTGTTTATTAATCAACGATCAAAGAAAGAACATTTTTGTTTGAACAAAATTAACTGCGATTCTTTTTCTCTGCATGTACATTCGTAAAGGGCGTATTCACGCTATTGCCGCTACACTGCAACAGGGTTGACCACCAGTCGGTTTAGACTACACCAGTCAGCAAAGATATCAATCTGATTTTGGAGAGAACGGCAGTCGGCGAGTGAGCGGATGCGCAGAAAAACTTTCAGATCGTCTGCAAACGATAATTGTGGCTCTGTGATAACATGGTGAACGTCGTCGAAGTAGAGGAGAAATACTAATGGTCCCAGATGGCTACCCTGAGGTATACCGGACTTTGCGCAGAAGCTTGCTGAGCGACAATTACCCAAAGTTACTGTCAATTGGCGCTCCGTGAGGTATGAACGAAACCATCTCAAGAGACTCAGCGACGTGATTCCCCGGTAGTTGTTTACGTCGCGTTTGCTTCCCTTTTTATGAACAGGAAACATATCCGCAGTCTTCCAGCAAGACGGAAAGATGCCGCTGGAAAGAGAGAGCTGGAATATGCGGTGCAG